CGCAGAGGCTGACACGTGGCACGACAGAATTACAGCTGTCCGGTCGGGTTGGCGGCGGACGTTTGGACTTCTTCATCCCGTCCCGTTTTTTCCCGGGCGGTTAAAAAGGCCCGGGCTGGGGGGACTCTTGGTAGGAAATACCCCGACCGACATGCCACGTGTTTTATTCTTGTTTATGCAGGTTACAGGTCGGATATTCTTGGAAGAACCCGGTCGTACCCGACCGGTGGAGCACCCGACCAGCGTCTTCAGTTCCTGATCGATAGCCCTTAGTGGAGAGTGTCGAGAAGAGGCACGTGGCAGCGTTAGGCGCTGACAGGCAGGGCTTGCGGGGTGAAGACACGTGGTTGCTACGTGGGCTACATGCCGGCCGGCCGGAGCTGTGTCTCCGGCCTAGCGGCTATAAATACCCACGGCGGCAACAGTGTGGAGGACTTTTGGAACGATCGATAGGCTATTTACAGAGTATCTCGACCGCAGTCAGTCGGCCCTCGGAATAGCCACTTAGATTTTATTAGGTCCTTTTACACGAGCAATAAAAGATTTACTTGCTTTACTTTATCGTGTTGTTACTTTAATCGCATTACGTGGAATTAGTACTATCAGTTATATAATTATGTACATTCATGTATACAATTATGTGTATTCTAGTATAACATTATGTACATTTTTGAACATGGTTTTTTTTTAAAGAAAAATTAACTGCTATACACTGGGGCGGGAAATTTCAAAAAAAAAAAAAAAAAAATTAAAACGACGTCGTTTTGCATCTGGGCCCACAGTGCAACGCGCGCCGTGGTGTAAGATATAAATTGCCCTGAACAAGTGCAGTGAAGGAAAACTGAGTTAGAACCCGACGAGTCTTGCAGGTCAAAATGCAGCAATACAAAATGAAACAATGTTCAGATTCGGGTAAATTATTTGTCTAACGGATTCACAAAACGAATAGCTACAATGGTTCTATGGAGTAAATTCAAATCTAGAACGCAGTACCCTTGTCATCAATTTGAAGCAGTAAACTATTTTTTGAAATTACAAAGGCAAGACAGTAAACCGGGTACATTTAGTTGCTTGCTTAAAGACTTCCCAGTTCAAATTGCTAATGTTGAGAACCCTACAGAGCTTTTACCGGATGCAGCATGTATAGCAGCAGCACGATAACACTAAAGAATAGGCCATCATTTCATTACAAGCTTCTGCTGAAGCTGCAACGATTAAAAGAACATATTTCTCGTAATTTGTAATTCATTTGTTTCGATTCTGAACAAGCTGAAGACATGAATGGGGAAGGGTCGAGATTCACTTACTGATTTGTTTTCCAGTAGCTACTGATGCAACTTTCGCAAAAGTTCCACATGGCCAAAAGAAAGTCTTCACACCTGAAAATATGATGAGGCAATCAATATATAGCGAATATCAGAGATCAATAAGTGGATACTGATTATCTCTGACTCACTACAACTTAATGGAAAGGTAATCTCGAAGTAGCTGCACCAACATACACAAGGAAGGCTTGGAACAGCATCCAAGTAGATCCGCTTGCCACTCTTCTTGCCAACTCGAGCTCTTAGTTGATCCAAGATTATGTCCCGGCCGACAGAACTCTAGGACACACACAAAATATGCCTACATAAGAATAATTATAAACTAACAACAACGGCAGCAGGTAGACCTAAGTAGTTTACGATATCTGTCAGAGTAAAGGCAAGTTTCCTGTAAGATAGTTTTCAGAAATCAGAAGGAAAGAACTAACAAAAGCTTACATATCTGAGAAAGTTAAGAGTACTGTTCTTGAAAACAATTTCATATTTTTTGATGGGCACTTCCAACATGTATTTAGATTGAGAACTAAAAACAAACCAACCGTTCAGTCTTATGACTCTCTGTTAGCTTAGAGTCATTCTCGACATTCACCTCCAATTTCTTTGCACTTCTCACGGGTGAACTCTCTGCTCGCCACGTCTTCTGTAACCTCAATCAGACGCTGAATCACTTCGAATTGACCTGCGTCCATATTAGCTTGTGACTGTTGTAATTCAACCCGGAGTTTCTTACTTTCACTCTTGAGCGCTGCATCGACTGGCAAATTGGGATAAGAACGAGATAGGTTCTTTATCAACACAATTCTGTCGTTTTTAGAAGGCTGTGGATTCAGAATCACAGCCTGCACTTTTCTGTCATCTTCATCCAACGTGTATTCGCGCTGATCCCTCTGAATATCTTCTAGCCTTCTCTGCAAATTTCACACAGAGTAAGATAACACTGCAGACCATAACACAAATGCAGCATCAAATTTTACAGCATCTACTGAATTTAACCTCTTTCAGGAGGGAGTAATATTCATATCTGCCTAGAAATTCTTTTAACAAAGAGGAAAGTGATCAATCAGAAAGGAACAGCCACAGCTAATGTACACAAAGAACATGAGAAACAGTCCCAAATCATAACGAGAAGGCAAAATTTACTGAGACCATCTCACATATCCTTATTCGGTGGTGAAAGGATTCGAGTTTTTCATAAGTATTACGCTTTCCCTCATAACTATTGCAATGTTTCTGTTAAGTAACTCTTCAACTTATAATATAAGTATTGATTTTAAAATATAACATTTTGCATCAAAAGTATGTCTACCTTGACTCTAGCATTGTCAAGAAGAGCAATGAGAGGGATGATCCTCAAGTAGCGATCAATCTCTTCCTGGGCCCTCCTGAACTGGTAAACAATGCTCCACCCCATGGCAATGAGGTAGAAATAGCTTATAGCTCCGCTCTTGGCAACTGTTTATGAGAAGGTAAGCCCTCCTCCGAGCATCCTCAAGCTGCTCCAATGGCTCTCTGGTTTCACGGTACTTCTCGAGCTCAGAAACCCTGAGCTGATCCAGAAGATTCCTGATCATCTTCACGTGCTGCGCGAACTGGTTGCAGTTGTGCTTGTGCATTCGTGCGGTGTTGGCTGCTCTCACTATTAGCCCGATCAGTGCGCCGGCGCTCAGCCCCGCTAGCTGCGCCACCGTCGCCGCCTCTCCCAGAGCCATGTTTTGCTTCCCGAGCTGTTGCGAACTGGAACGGATCCGAATCTGTGCAGATCAAAGATGCATTGTCGGGTTTTGACTTGAGCTTCTTTTGTGTTTGCTCGGAATTGGGGCAGAAATCAGAAGATTCAGCCGGAAAATGTAGTGGAATTCAGACGCATTGCCTTCAGAGACGACGAATGGTGAAGCACTGTCAAGATTAAAGTATGATTACTTTTTCAGAATGGAAATTCATCAAGCTCGTTTGGTTCGCGGAAAATATTTTAGGAGAAGTGAAATTGAAATTCTATGGAAAAACAATTACTAAGAAGATGAATTTCATTATTTGGTTGGTGGAAAAAAAATTACTGGGAATACTAATTCTATTGTTTGGTTAGATTTGGAATTGTATAAAGATATATATGCCCCTACAAATTAATAAAAGTAATATAATTAAAAAAAAAAGTTAACAAGGGTAAAATAGGTATTCTATCACACTTTTTTTCCATCTTTCATGGAAAAAAAATCCTTGGTCCAACCAAGGATTTTGTTTTCCTCAAATTTGAGGAATTCATTTTCCAATGGAAAATGAATTCCATGAACCAAACACAAGAAAACAACATTTTCCTCCACTTTAAAGAAAATGTTTTCCTTTGGAAAATATTTTTCATGAACCAAACATCCCCTCAGTGTGACAGTGTGACACGAGGGTTCCAACTTCCAAATAGTTCCACCACGCCCCAATAATAATATAGTATCAAATTGTTAACAATCTTTAGAGTGAATTTGTTGTACAATGTCTTTGTCCCCCGGTCTGACAGAAGCACACATGGCCAAATGCAAGTGCACCCACAACAGGGTCAAATTCTCACATTGTCACTGTCGAAATTCAAACATAGTCTACCAAGTTCGTCGCACAAGATCTACCCATTATAGTTTACCTTGATCTCCTATTTTATTTGCGGGATATTCAACAGAAACATGATTTACTCTGTAGACATTTTCGAACTGAGTATTGACAGTGAATTTTTCTTGCCACTTAAGAGAGAGAGATAGAGAGTGAATCTATCCTCTTAAGCCACTTGATCGCACAATTTGATTCTCATGACAACCGCGAAATCACAATAATCTCAATTCTCTACACCGTCGTCTCCCCAACTCATTCCCTAAAGATGCCCCTAACCACTATTATATTTGGTTGATCTCTAACAGTACACTTTCATTACATCCTATTATGAAATTTATTTACAAATTTTGAGTCATTCGTATATACAAAAAGTCTTATCAATAATCTACGGAGTATATTTTATCAAATAAGTGATATCATATGTATTTTTTATTTTTTTTGAAAGAAAAATTATTAAAATAAGTGCCCAATACAAGACGGAATTAAAGATAACCACATAAGGGACCAGGTTGAGAACGAGTGGCTCTTGCTAAAGCGTGAGCTAACTTATTCGCTGATTTCGAAAGAAACTGAATAGACACTGTTTCGGAGTGTAGTTAAAGTGTCCGGCACTCACTTGAGATGCAACCCGCATACGATAGATCATGTGTCATGCCAGAAAACCATCTGCAAACTAAGTGGCAATCAGAATAAATAGCCAATTCGTTATCACCTCTCTCTTTGGTTCAGGACAGTGCTTCTTTTACAGCCATAGTTTCAGTCAGAAAGGCATCCCCTAGACATCGAAGGGATCCCTTCTTTGCCGCCACATAACCAGCATTGCTATTCTTGATTCGCCGCATCAACAAAGATATCATATGCACATACTTTCATATAATCAAAGTCTTTATAAATTATCATAATACACCAAAAAATCAAATCCATACATTCTTTTTTCTTTTCTCCATCCTTCAATCAAATCTTGAAAAGAAAATTAAAGGGAATTCTTACAAACAAGAATATGAAGTTGTTCCTATGAACTATATATATATATATATATATATATATATATATATATATATATATATATATACACATCGTATTCAATGTTGTGGTAAACTTCTTGTTGACAATTTGTTCAGGTGAAACGACTAAGATACTTTTAGAGGATTTGATGTACAAGAATCCTGTAAGCGCTCCCCGTGGGAAGGAAATTATCCCAAAACACATATTTATTGTGGTCAGGACATGTACCGGTGTATTTGTTGCATAAAAACGTAACATCTATCACTCCAGTCCCGCAACATCCTTTGTCAGCAACCTCGAATCCTGACACCAATTCAATGACACAAGAATAAACAATTTAGTTCGTTGTTTACTATACGTTCTATCCGTTTAACGACTCAATTAAATTTAAACATGCAACGAAAGTAATCTAACCATAATTTTGAGGGTTTTGGATGAGGTCGAGAAAGGGATTATATATGTCTACGCAAACAATGATATATTGTGGCAATTTGTTGTTTAGATAATCAATCTCAGCTGAGAGCTTGGAGTTCACCAATTGTGAACATTCATTATACTCTTCTACACAAGCTCTTGATTTGCCTCCTGCTAATGTTCTCTGAGAGGGCACACACCCTGCAGGTCGGATACCAAAAACCATAGCCCGTCGCGCCCCCACGTCGTACAATTTCTTCCAAAAAAAAAATCAACGATAATGATAATTAATTTCGGGACATTCAATTTATCCAGCGCCAGGCAGAGTCCGTAGCATCGGTTGTGATTACCGATGGAGCAGTGGTCGGAGGCGAAGAGCATTGCTCAGCGGTTCCACCGCCGCTCTTCCTCTTCCTCCTCATCTTCCAGACCCATTCTCAAAATTGCGTCTTTCATCTTATCCGTCTCCGCTTGAAGATCATTCATCAGCTTCTTCCTCACGGCGGCAATCCCGTCTTCCACGTCAACCCTGAAATTCCGAACCTGCTCATTTGATCTGCACCGCGACAACCCAGAACTAGCCTCCGATGACGACCGCCGGTGAATGGGAACGATTTCCCTTCGGAATCGAACTCAGTGCACCTCAAGAACTTCTAGTTCCCCCACTTGAGACCTCAAGAACTTCGAATTTCTTTTTAGATGGCCATGGCTGTCTAGGGACGCGCTGGACAGCCATGGCCCTCTAGAACTAGGGCAGCGGCCATGGCTGCCGCCCTCATTCCACTCAGTTTGAGGTCCCAATTTGGACCTCATGTTTGAGCCTATCCTAGGCAATCGTTATATCCTACACCACGGCGCATATAGCACTGTGCGCCGCGCGTCTCCCAAAACGACGTCGTTTTGGGGTAGTGTTGGGAGGCGCGGTAGGAAGTTGCTGAGATTATGTGTATTTGTTCACAACGTTATGTGTATTTGTTCACAACGTTATGTGTATTGGTTCATACAGTTATGTGTATTTTTTATACAATTATGTACATTCTTTTTATACAATTATGTACATCCGAATCAGAAAATTTGTGTGTATTATGTTAAGAGTTGATGTGTATTATGTTAAAAGTTTATGTTTATTATGTATTATGTTAGATTATGTGTATTATCTTTTAAAAAGAGTATGTATATTTTGTTATATAATTATGTACATTCATGTATAACATTATGTGTATTCTAGTATAACATTATGTACATTCTTGAACAGCGGATTTTTTTTTAAGAAAAAACTACTGCCATTCACTGGGGCGGGAAATTTCAAAAAAAATAATAATAATTAAAACGACGTCGTTTTGCATCTGGGCGCATAGTGCAACGCGCGCCGTGGTGTAGGATATAAATTGCCTATCCTAGGCATATAGTTGGTGGCCAATTTTTTTTTTTTAATAATTTAATAAAGGGAAAATTGCACTTTTCATTCCTAAGTTATAGGGTAATTGTAGAATTCGTCCCTAAGTGTTGGTCATGCTCACTTTTTGTCCCTAAGTTATCATTGGCGTTGCACTTTTCGGCCCTGAGTTATAAGGTAATTGTAGGATTCGTCCCTAAGTGTTGGTCATGTTCACTTTCCATCCCTAAGTTATCATTGACGTTGCACTTTTCGTCCCTGAGTTATACTAAAATTGAAAATTTCGCCCATAATCACTACTACATAAATTATATACTATGTCACTTTTTAAATAACCGTTGTCTAATATATTGTGTTATACACTTATACTACGTCACTTAATAGACGACGGTTGTTTAAATAACTACCTATGTAGTTGACATACACGACAGTTTTTTAACCACCGTATATAGTTAACATACACGACGATTTCTAAAACCGTCGTAGAAAGTGTATATTTACAACGGCAGTCACTTACACGCGCGACACTTCGAAAATTGTCGTGTATGTGTAAAAAAATCGCCGATGGTTATTTAAAGTGTATGGCGTAAAAAATTAATTAAGTTATATACGACGGTTATTTAAAAACCCGTTGTCTATTAAATGGCGTAGTATAACAAAATATATAAGACGGTGGTTATTTAAAAAACATCTGTCTATTAAGTGACGTAGTATACCATTTATGTAGTAGTGATTAGGGACGAAAATTGCAATTTTAGTATAACTCAGGGACGAAAAGTGCAACGCAAATGATAACTTAGGGACGCAAAGTGAGCATAAACAACACTCGGGGACAAATTCTACAATTACTCTATAACTCAGGGACAAAAAGTGCAACACTAATAATAACTTAGGGACGAAAATTGAGCATGACCAACACTCAGGGACGAATTCTACAATTACCCTATAACTTAGGGACGTAAAATGCAATTTTCCCTTTAATAAATAAATAAATAAGTTTTTTTAAAGTATAAAATTTAAAAAATATTTAAAAAGTGACATGTATCAAACTTACGATGAATTAATCTATTATACATGTTTTTTTTTAATGCTACTGACTCTATTACAATGTAGTATCAGTTCATAAACATACTATACATGTTAATTTGGACTGAATTGAACTATTTTACAGGTTTAGGAGATCTGAATGAAGCTTTTTTTTTTTTTTTTTTTTTTTTTTTTTTTTTTTTTTTTTTTTTTACTTAAGGGACCTAATTGCACTATCGAATGACTTAAGGGACCAATTTAATTGATGTTTTTTTTCTTTTACATTTAACCCCTAATAGTAAAAAGCTAATTTTACCAAAAACTACTATTACGCAAAATCAGTATTCTGCGTGTTTAGAATTCGAATTATTATTATTGGTGTAAATAATAATTAATTCTCTCATTTATTGATGTAAATAATAATCAATTATTATTTCTGTATAAAATTACGCCGAATTTTCAAGAAATTTTCTCATCTATTACACATAATTTGTTTACATTATTCGATCTCACAATTATAATGGTTACATTATTGGTAACCATTTTTCATTTTAAAGTAAATATTTACTTTAATTTTTGGTAACAATTCATTAGATATTAGTTAATTTCGATATACATTTTTTGTTATCAATTAAGCTTTATTAAATTTTTTTACCAATTAATTAATATTCATATTAATTTGAAAGAGAAAGTTGAAGGGGAGAATTTTACTTTTATTAATAGTATAAATTTTACAGCGTCAATCTTGCGATCGATAAAAACAAAACAAATTACATTACATATTACCAAACAATTATATCTTGAGGTTTGAATTCGCAACTGTTCATATTGTCGTAGGATCTAAATTTAATTTATATGATTCTTAGGGGTGTTTGGTAAATAGTTGTTGGCTGATATGATTAATGAGTTTGATTAGTTGATAGTATTGGCTGATTGTAGAAAGATATTTGATAAATTATTTCTTAGTTGATAGCTGATTATATGCAAAATGACTTTCTCAACAATTTAATTGAAAAAAAAAAAAAAAAAAACTGTTTTGAGCAACTTTTTGAATTTTAACCTTTTGGAGCAATAAATTATTACAAAAAAGCTAATTGACCAAATATTTATATTGATTGTTTAACCAAGTCAAACAATTAATAGTGGTTAAACAAATCAAAATTGACTGATAAGCTAACTATTTTACCAAACAGGGCCATAATGTTTATGACATTGACATATTATCTCTATCCAACTCATACCATTTTACTTTGAAAAATGATATATGTACTCCATGGAGTATAACTCTCACCACGTGTACAGATTTTATTAGGTAAATAAAAGTAAATGAATAAAAACAGTGACCCACTTTGTTATTTAAATCGATCAAATAAAGGTTGACACCTCAACATGGAGTAAAAAATAGAGTAGAAAGTGGGAGTGCATGTAATATTACTTTTTACTTGTGTCAAAATTAAATTAATTATTTGGGTTCTAACTTTTTAAATAAATACCAGACTAATTTCGAACGTCATACGAAGTTGGTGTCATATTTGAGAAAAGAACGAACCCTTAATTGGTTGGCAAGTTAAACTAGTTTGCAGGATTAATAATGGTAATTGATTCATGTTCCTAGGCATTCCATTTCTGATTGTTAATTCTATATTTTAGTTCCGGGTGATTATATGTTTACATTCCAGAGTTTTTATTCAATTATTATGCATTTGAGTTAATCCTTATTTTTGATAGTCATTTTTAGCACTTTACTTTGTTAAGTTAATTATTTCCTGTTTATAAATTGCATTGTATAAATTTCCCTGTGAGTTTGACCCTTACTTTACTTGCAAGGACTATTTAAAATTGTCCATTAGTAGTTTGGGCTGGGAGTAGTAAAAGTAGGATTTTGTTTTTATTAGTAGTATAGATTATAAATGTTGTTATATTCTAAACAAAATAATTAAAATGTTTAATTACACAATTATATAATGTTGTGGAAATTGCTATAAACCCTAAACCATGATTTCTGAAATACACATTTACATACATCCAGATACACATATACATTGTGTGTGTATACTAGTCTACGAAATATGAGGATGCAGATTGAAGACTGGATTGAAGAAACTAGAGTATATCTCTTGCTTCGATGGAGTGCTCGGAGTTGGAGACGCATATAGGCGTCTGAGACAAGGTTCTGGCGGAGTTTATCACAAAAATGGGTCGCGATCGGAACTGCGAAACAGTGGAGGAGTTCGATGAAAACCTGAAGGAGAGTGGCCTTGAGATGCCGAATTACTTGTTCGGACGCTGCTCACGATAATCCACACAATTCTCCTCCAAGTCCGAGTTCGAGAAGGGGGTGAAAAGTTTTCTGCTTTAAAAATCAAGGATGATAGGGAAAGGATTAAGGATTTGGAGATAGTTTGTTTAAATGATTGTTTTAGCTTTGATAGTTTTACGGGTTGTGTTATTCTCATTTAGTTATAGAACAAGAGAGCTTTTTCATTGTAGATTATAGGGAAAATCAATGATTTGGTCCCTCAATTTTTAGCGAAATATCAATGTAGTCCCTTAATCGCGTAATCATCGATTTAGTCCCTGGAAATAACTGTTTTTCGTTGATTTAGCCCCTCCGGCCGTAGCCCGTCCAAAATCCGGCGATAGCTCCGATTTGCCATGGGTAATTTAGTCATTTTGCTTTTTAGTCTTCTTCCATTGTTTAGTTTCTTTAGTCTTCTTCTTCTTCAACTAAACTCCTCAAACACTCGGATTCAGTGGGCTTTCGTTTTCTCTGCTGAATTCATCGTCTGTTTCTTTCCAGGCATCAACACTTTTAGTAGAGCATGGAGAGCAGTCTGCCCTTATACTTGAATGGGCCAGTGAAATTCGTCGAGCCTTCAATGGAGTTTCGGTTTCTCTGCTGAATTCATCATCTATTTCTTTCCAGATATCAGGACTTCTCTAAGAGCAGGGAGAGTAGCCTGAGGCTCTACTACTTGACTTGGCCAATGAAATCCTCAGAGACTTTTGTGCAAGACTTCCATTTTCAGTGCCAAAATCGCATTCGTTTCCTTTGTTTGACTTCACTAGATAAATTCTCTTTAACTTTGAAGAGGGACTGGTGCTTATACAATCAGATTCAAACACATTTTCTTTTAAATCAGCATCTTTTGGTCCCGGTTGACATGATTGCATCACCATATCTATGGCTTCCTAGTTCTCAACCTACATCAACAAAATACTAAAAAGTTCAAAGGATTACTGCTACCTGTGATAGTGTGATATCATAATTTTTATTTTTATTTTTGAAAAAAAAGATTGGTTTGTTAATTCTACCAACCTTGTCCCAAAGTCCATCTGAAGCTAAAACAAGATATTGCATATCTGCAGTAAGGCACATTCTCTTTGTGTCAAACTCAGCCACTACCTAGTCCTTCAAATGAGCATCTCCAATGCTTATGGAAACCGAGAGTACACCATGAACTCTCCAAGCTCCTTTGTGAATCTCAACGTAGCCTCCCTATACCAGAAGCTCAAAGAAGTTGTGATCAGTAAACACTGCTCTCCTACATGTTATTAGTTCAAAGAACAGTTTTGATGCAAGAAAAGAGGTACCTTATCCTTGATCCTTCTCCGCTCATCCTCTTGTCCAGCTCTATGATCTCTCGTAAGGACTTCAGCTACTCCACTCCCACAAAGAACTGCTCTGCAGTCCCCTAAATTGGAAACTATGATCTTCAATCCTCTCCTTCAATCAAAGCAGCGACGCAACTGGCACCCAGACTAAAGAAACTAAAGAGAACAATGTAAGAAGAAGACTAAAAACGCGAAATGGCTAAATTACCCATGACAAATCGGAGCTATCGCCGGATTTTGGACGGGCTACGGCCCGAGGGGCTAAATCAACTAAAAACAGTTATTTCCAGGGACTAAATCGATGATTACGCGATTAAGGGACTACATTAATATTTCGCTAACAATTGAGGGACTAAATCGTTGATTTTCCCTAGATTATATGATCTTTAAATGTATCCCCAATTTATGTAGAGATACAAAAGTTGGTGCTGGAAACTTGTGTAGTAGTATGATGGGTTTGAATAAATTGATTAAAGAAATTATTCCTCACTATGTATGTTTTTAGATAATAATTTCAAGATTGGTATATGAAATTAAACAAAGATTATGCTAAATGATATTACATTTCTTTCTACTTGACTACCTCCGAAACAAAGGTTACCACTTTCTACTTCCTACTGTACACAATTTCAAAACCCTACTTGTCTTTCTCTTATAATATATTTTTCTCAACATGGAGGACAAGGTTGAAAATAAGTGTAGGGAAAGGATTCCTATTTCAAAATGTTTGTTATTCTTTAGAAAAAATCATAAACACGATTTTTTTTTTTAGAAAATTTTAAATTTTATGTGTGTTTTAGTTTTCTAAAAATCTTTTACTTAAGTCCCTCAACTTTAAAAATCTTAATCAATTTGGTCCTCTGTTTGTTTGACCGTTAGTCAACCGTTAACTTGGGACCAAATTGGTAATTCGCTATAGTCAATGGACCATTTTGGTAATTAACTTTAAGGGTAGATTCGATAATATACCAAACAACCGAACTGTTCGGTAAAAACTCAAACCGAACTGAGTTGTTCGATAAAATCGAACCGAACCGAATACCGTTTGAACTTTGGATTGCTATTTTGTTATATATTAGACTTTGGATTTGGACTATGTAAACACCATAACAAATAATATATAACTTTTGATAACAAACTATAAAGAAATCAAATAAAACATTTAAAAGAGATACCCGTGAGAATATGAGCTGAACAACAGAGCAAGCAGCAAGGGATATGGATTTACTTTTTATTTATTTATTTATTTATTTATTTATTTATTATTATTATTATTATTATTATTATTATTATTATTATTATTATTATTATTATTATTATTATTATATTTTAAAAAAATCAAACGGTATTTGGTACGGTTCAATTTTTTACCGAACAATTTGGATCGGTTCAGATCGTTTTTTTATCGAACCGTTCGGTATACAAGAATCCAATACCGTTCGGTTGTTCGGTATATTACCGAACCAAACTAGTTCGGTTCGGATCGAGAAAACTGAACCGAATTGCCCATCCCTAAAGTAAATTACCAAAATGGCCCCTTGACTATAGCAAAATTACCAATTTGTTCCCAAGTTAACGGTTGACTAATGGTCAAACAAACAGAGGACCAAATTGGTTAAGATTTTTAAAGTTGAGGGACTTAATTGGTCAAAAAAAAAAGTCAAGGACCAAATTGATAATTTCACTATAGTCAAGGGACCATTTCGGTAATTAACTCTTTATTTTATTTTAAATTTTTAAATAATTTAAAAAAAAAAAAAAAAACGACATAAACAAAAACCCTTTTATTTCTACATAATTTCTTTGATGGTTTATATGTCGATTTCGCTTTGTATAACTTTTTCAAATTTTTAAACAAACTTGAGTGCTATAAATTATGGTGAAAGTGTGCTTGTTTCAAAGATCACTTTTTAGCATAGTGAGGTGAAAAAATAATTTAAAAATGAGAGTGTTTTATTTAATTTTCAATAATTTGAAGATTCTACTCCGTTGAATCAATTCAACAACCTACATACACATGTACAATAAATAAATTGGGAAGAATGTACAATAAATAAATAATTACGGAGTAAGTGTTATGATCTAATTTATGAGTACACACGGAATTGAAAATCCAAACATGTTTACACCAATGTTGGTGTTCGCATAAAAAGACGAGGTGCTTGAGAAATTTTTTTTTTTTTTTTGGAAAAGTCATAGAATAAAAAATAATGAGTGAACTTTAAAAGAGACGATGATATACATTTTAATTTTAATAAATGCTTTCAATCCTTGATTTATGTGAAAACTTGTCATTATTATGTGAAGGTGTATTTTGAGTGAAGCCAATAAATAGCTTTCATACGAAGAGTTAATTTAAAACGTTAATTTGTGATTACAAAACAAACTATTCTAGCAATTTGCATAGGATTGACCCTAAAATAAAATGTCTTGTAGTGAAATATCATATGACTCCTAAGTATCTATAGAGTATAATTTTTATTTATTTATTTTATATAGGATGTGGTCGTACTCCTAATTAATTTGACCTATTTTAATTTTAATATGAAATTACTCCATATTGTTTAGGAAAAAATTGTTCTTTATATGTATAGTATAGTATTTTGAGATCGTCGTTTTACGTGAGATATAGTGTAATACGTTTTAGAACCTCTTTAAAAAGTATTATATTTTTATTAAAAAAATATTGTGTATCTCACTCAAATTTTAATTTTGTGTAATATCAAATATATTTCAAATTAAATGCATCTAGATCAATAGAGCTTTTATCCCATAATCCTGTACCTTGAGATATTAATTTAATAATTATCTTCCTCTAGGTAACCCTAACCAAGTTGGTTGACCTATTGATTTAGTAATATAAGGTTTTCAAGTTCGATTTCCTGATGGTACACATCTTCGGGTAGTGGTTAGTGTTTTCATCATAATCCAAAATTATTATCTTCTTCTTGTAGAAACTTTTTTTTTTTTTTTGGGGGGGGGGGGGGGGGATCACACGATCCTAAAAATTATCATTGTTGTTTGGTAGATGTCGGTGAAGGGCCAAGTTCAGCACAAGGTAACTAGGAGGATTGTTGAACTGAGATTTGAAGAGTCAATTTCACACCCTACCTCTTAGAATGTAGCGGTATAACGAAATAAAGTTATACATTTGCTATAAGCTAAAGTTTTTGTATTAATATTTTTTGTATCTTAGCATGGAAGATGATGATTTTGTGGAAAAGGCCAAAGACTTAACCGTTCATCACCTCAAACAAGCTCTACAACAAGAAATAGATCAAAACTTGGTCGAGCAGAGTAAAATTAAAGACTCATCGTGTAAAAGTTCAAGCTAATATACTTAATCATTTTTAAGTTAAAGATTTTTGGAAAATTAAAAAACACATAAAATTTAAAATTTTCTAAAAGTTTTTTCTAGTTTAGGATGTTTTTCAAAAATAACAAACATTTTGATATAAAAATCCCTTCCCCACACTTATTTTCAACAGTGTCGTTAATATTAAGAAAAATAAATTATAAGAGAAAGAGAAGTAGGGCAAGCTAACTAACAATTGAATGTAGAAACAAACAAATGGAAAACGAAATCATAAAAGCAAAATGGAGTGAATGAAGTATAGAAAAACACTAAATAATGCACTACATTAACATTAATGGCTAATTTGTGAACACATTATATTATTATAACAAAATCATTCAAAAAATTTTAAAGAACATATCAAGCACCCTTTTTACTCAACTGGCAAGACTTAGACTTGTGATATCTGTCATAAAGAGGTTCAATGTGCTCTTGTCTCTCTTGCATTTGCTTAATATAGTTGGGTCAACCACTTTAAAAATCGGGGTGTCAGCTTTACAAGACACTTGGGATCAATCACTGTGACCTCAAGCATATATTGCTTTGTTGTCATGACAAGCTCATAATCGAGCACTACTAGGATGTATATATACTGGTTATGTATATATATATATATATATATATATATATATATATATATATACTGGTTAGCTGGTTCTCAACCAGGGTTCTATAATTGATTTAAGACTGATGATGTTATGATTTATAATTGTTGATTTCAGATTATTACCCTAAATTATTTGGCAAAAAGATTAAATCCTAATCGTAAATGAAGACTGAAAAGTAATCATACAAAGTTCTAATCAAAATAGAATTTTCCAATCAAAATAGAACTTTCCAATAAAATTAAAAGTAATCATATAAAGCCACTAATGAGTAAATTAGGGAGGAAGGTGACCATAATTTTCAAGATTAAAACTTGTAATAATTATTAATCGCACAATTAGAAAAATGCTTGAAATGTGTGATTGCTTTCTATAATCTTCTTTCCTTTTTACTTGGTTATTTAGATACTTACAATGTTAAAAAGAAAAATAAATTATAAAAGAAAGACAAATTGGGCAGACTAACCAACAATTGAATGTAGAAACAAACAAATAGAAAACGAAATCAGAAAATTAAAGCAGGAGTATAGAAAAACACTAAATAATTAAAGCAGAATGGAGTGAATAAAGTATAGAAAAACACTAAATAATGCACTACATTAACTAACATTAGTGGCTCTCATTGGCATTGCATATATGAATACATTCTTTTGAATTATTCACACATTATATTATGACAAAATATAATCGTCCAAAATTGTAAGTGCATTATTGTTCAAAAAACATATATATCAAGCACGTGTTTTACTCAACCGCCAAGAATTAGACTCGTGATATCTGGCATAAAGAGGTTGGATGCGCTCCTGTCTCTTGTATTTGCTTAATTTAGTTGGGTGAGTGACTTTGAAAAATCGGAATCCCAGCTCTACAAGCCACTTGGGATCAATCACTGTGACCACACATATATTGCTTTGTTGTCATCACGAGCTCATGATAAATAACCCAATCAGGCTGTCTTCGGAATAGAGCACTACTAGGATGTATTTATACTGGCTGGTTCTCAACCAGGGTTCTATACCTTTTTTGTGAATCCTTCCTAGCAGCATTAAAAAAGAAACCTACAACTATGGCCTTGTTTATCTTGGTAACATCTTTTGCAGCACTTACAACATCCAGTTTGTATTTGTGCATGATGGAAATGAGCTGTTTTCTAACATCCTGAGTACGCCTTAAAGACTGTGTTTGCTATTAGTGTGTGAAAAATGAAATTAAAACAGAGTTTATACCATGGTCCATTTAAAAAGTTTACCTATTATATAAGAATGCGCATAGAATAAACTCTATTCATATTCAATAACGTACAAATCATTGGTAATAATTGGACCTATAATCTTTTGTTACCCGAAAAGGCTAGAATATGTCATTTTATGTTAATAATTGCTAGCCATATACAATTGGCTCAATCTGAAACCACCTATTAGGCTTCAAGCCTTCAAGGCAGCTGGAAGTGGCCCTCTACAATGCATCCAAAAACCACTACGTACGCAGTTCGAGAAGCCCTCGCGTGGATCAAAGATCGTGGCCTGACTGGTGTGCGAGTGGAGTCGCCGAGTCGGACTGTTTACTTCTTTGCACCAACCTTACGAACTATGTTATTATTGACCGTTATGTTGGCCTTGTGGTCTAAGATTTTATTCGTCTTTAACAACTCTACTAGTATTTTCACCCGTGCGATGCACGAAATAAATTTGTTGTAATAATATATTAAAAATATTCGAATAGATATATAATTATTTAAATTAGAACATCAAATATAATATAGTGCAATTAAATATATGGTTTGGATCGTTTATGTATTTTAATATTATCATTGCTTGAATCTGTGCAAATAATTGCTCAAATTAATAGCTAATGTATAGATGTACACATGTGGTGCTATAACTTTGAAGATTTTATTTATCATTGTTTGTAAAATATTTTCTTAAAAGGAAAACTAAAATAATAAGCCATTAAGCTAAGACTTCTCACGTTAGGCGCCCCCTAGGCGTCGATTTTCTTTTTAAATGTAAAAAAAATTAAAATTAAAAATTATCAAAATTCACTAATAACATAAGGTTCTCATCTTTTTTTCTTACAAACTATTTATTTAAGTGGCTATAAAATTGTTTGAAATATTGTTGAAACCATCAAAATACATAAAAAAAAAAAAAAAAAAAAAAACTAAAATTAAGAGCAAAAGAAGCATTATTTTTGAGAAATTGGTGGGACAAACCGCCTTTGGCTGTTTGCGTTGGGTAGATCTCGAAAAAATAAGCGATTTGAAAAAAAATTGCCCAAAACGGACAAAGGAGTCAAAAGTTATGCCTTCACAAAGTTTTTAACCATAACCCTAGAATGAGATATTTTTTAGGAATTGGGCGGGAAGTTAAAGTTTAGGATTTTGTTTTTATATATAATATAGATAGATTATAATATGAATTGTATTACACTATTTTATAATATTATAATATGAATTTTAACCTAGAATTAGAGTACGAATAGGAAAGTAGAGAACAATATATTTTTATCAGAGAGATTAAAGTTCAAGATTTTCTTTTTATATATAGTATATATAGATATAGATTAGAATAGGAATTATATTACACTATTTTATAATATTAGAATATGAATTTTAACCTAAATTTATACTACGAATAGGAAAGCAGAAAACAATATATATATATTTTATTAGAAAGAGATATTTTTTAGAAATTGGGCGAGAAGTTAAAGTTCAGGTTTTGTTTTTATTTTTATTTTTATATATAGTATAGAAGTATAGATTAGAATATAATTGTATTACACTATTTTATAATATTAGAATAGGAATTTTAACGCAGATTCCTTGTGCGCACAGGCATTTGGCCATGCCTACTAACCCATTGAGTCACCGTGATTTACATCCTCCCACATGCTCTGTCGGGTCGGAGTGTGGGGGCCCTTGGGGTGGGGGATTCAGCCTTTGGGGTAAGAATGTGAATTTTAACATAGAATTAGAGTACGAATGGGAAAGTAGAGAACAATATATTTTTATCAGAAAGAGAGATTTTTTAGGAATTGGGCAGGAAGTTAAAGTTCATGATTTTCTTTTTATATATAGTATAGATATAGATTAGAATAGGAATTATATTACACTATTTTATAATGTTAGAATATGAATTTTAACCTAAATTTATACTACGAATAGGAAAGCAGAAAACAATATATATATTTTTATTAGAAAGAGATATTTTTTAGGAATTGGGCGGGAAGTTAAAGTTCAGGATTTTGTTTTTATCTATAGTATATAGAAGTATAGATTGCATTCAAAAAAATATAGAAGTATAGATTAGAATATAATTGTATTACACTATTTTATAATATTAGAATAGGAATTTTAACCTAGAATTATAGTACGAATATGAAAATAGAAAACAATATATTTTTATCAGATATTTTTTAGGAATTGGGCGGGAAGTTAAAGTTCAGGATTTTGTTTTTATATATAGTATAGATTAGTGGTTACGAATTGAAGTCTAGTTTATTCGTAGGGACAGGAATTACGTGGCCCATTCTCTTGCCAAAACGAACAAGGTGTCTTTGTCTCACTTCGCAAGTTATGCCCTAGAAACGTGTTCACCATGAATTGTGAACACGGGTCCAAACATCGTCGTTTTTACAGGAATTTTTTTTTTTAAGTTAATGTGCTGTTAACGACGTTTTGCATTCTATGTTCAGATTATGAATTTACATTTATTAAATTATGAATTTTCTGTTATGAGATTATGAATTTTTTGTAAATTCATAATCTCATAACAGAAAATTCATAATATCATAAAAGAGATTATGAATTTTCTGTTATGAGATTATGAATTTACAGTTATGTAATTATGAATTTACAGTTATGTAATTATGAATTTTCTGTAGGTGTTAGGAAGGGTTGTGGTAGTTAAGGCTGATAGCCATTTGTACTTACCTCTTGTAACTCTCATTGGTGAACATCTATAGTGGATTGGGCAGACGTAAGAGAAGCGCTCCGAACTACGTAACAATTTACTTGTGTACTTGATTTATTTTATGCTTTTAATTTTCGTTATTTATAATTGATAAATAACCTAATTAATGGACATGATTATTATTTATAAAATCAAGTAGAATTCTAAGTTACATCTTGCATTCAAGATTCACAGTCCAATTTCATTAGGTAGTGTAACTACCTCTTAAGCATAATGGTCACAAACTAAGTCTTCATAACACCCCCTTGGACATTATCTTCCCGTGATCATGCCTCGTTAAAAACCTTGTGGAGAGGATATCGGGAATGAGCTCCACCTCGATTAAGGAGGCAGTGCAGCCGGTCGGAGTTTGAAGGGATTTGCTTGCGCAATCGGTGAGGACGAGTGTGACCTTTACGCTTTGGGTGGCTAAGACTCTAAGAGTGCAGAAATGGACCGTACCATTGGGTTTAGGTGGCCTTGCGCCGGGACTGAGACGACGAGTATGTTTATGCTTTCACTATAATTATACATAATATAATTTGACTTTTAGGTAAACGATCGAAACCGGCAGTCAATTATTCAATTACCTCTGTCAGTTACGAATGTCAAGAATCTAGGGCCTCCCACACCCCGGCCCGATAGAGTATTTGGGAGGATGTAAATCACGGTGACTCAATGGTTCAGCGGACAAAGCCAAATGTCGGTGCGCACAAATAATCTGTCCACTTTCAATTACCTTCAGTTGATTTCTGTCAGTTACGACTTTCAATTACCTTCAGTTGATTTCTGTCAGTTATGAATGTTAAGAATCTAGGGCCTCCCACACCCCGGCCCGATATTTGGGAGGATGCAATTACCTTCAGTTGATTTCTGTCAGTTACGACTTTCAATTACCTGATTTCTGTCAGTTACGACTTTCAATTACCTTCAGTTGATTTCTGTCAGTTATGAATGTTAAGAATCTAGGGCCTCCCACACCCCGGCCCGATATTTGGGAGGATGTAAATCACGGTGACTCAATGGTTCAGCGGACAAGGCCAAATGCCGGTGCGCACAAAGAATCTGTCCACTTTGAACATAATTCCCACACTGCCACCGCCGAGATTCGAACCTTGGTCTTTTCTCCCGAATACTGCCCACTGAACCATTAAGCTAAGCCCGTGCGGGTGATTTTTGGTTTTTTGGTCCGTTTGGGTTGTTGAGACAAGAAGGCTCGCCCAAGGTAATTTAATTAGTGTACAAATTAAATAACGTACCAAGAGTTGATATAATTAAAACAAACCACCAAGGAAAATGAATATTTTGTACGTTGCAGAAATCTTCAACAGTTTCATCGGAAGCTTTGTGTGGATATTAAAGAACTGTTAAGTTTATACAAAGCTTCGTACCTTAGCATATGGAAGATGAATATTTTTTGGAAAAGGCCAAAGACTTAACCTAGTTCATCACCTAAAACAAGCTCTCCAACAAGAAATTGCCTTTTACTCAAAAAATAACAAACATTTTGATAACCAACAATTGAATGTAGAAACAAACAAATGGAAAACGAAATCAGAAAAGCAGAATGGAGTGAATGAAGTATAGAAAAACACTAAATAATGCACTACATTAACATTAACATTAACATTAATGGCTCTCATTTGCATTGCATATATGAATACATTGTTTTGAATTGTTGACACATTATATTATGACAAAATATAATCGTCCAAAATTGAAAAGTTCATTATTGTTGAAAAAACATACATATCAACCACGTCTTTTACTCAACCGCCAAGAATTAGGCTCGTGATATCTGTCATAAAGAGGTTGAATGCGCTCGTGTCTCTTGCGTTTGTTTAATTTAGTTGGGTGAGCGACTTTGAAAAATCGAGGTGCCAGCTCTACAAGCCACTCGGGATCAATCACTGTGACCTCACGCATATATTTCTTTGTTGTCATCACAAGCTCATAATAAATAACCCAATCTGGCTGCCTTTGAAATAGAGCACTGCTAGGATGTATATATACTGGCTGGTTCTCAACCAGGGTTCTATACCCTTTTTCTTGTGGATCCTTCCTAGCAGCATTAAAAAAGAAACCTGCAACTATGGCCTTGTTATCTTGGTAAAATCTTTTGCAGCACTCACAACATCCAGTTTGTACTTGTGCATGATGGAAAGGAGCTGTTTTCTAACA